CATCCTCTCCAGTTATCTCCTAGATGTGAAGCTTGACAAAAACCAAGATGCTATGAGGTTCACTGCAGTACCTTAAATTTAGGTTCCTTTCAATGCCTGAAAAAACTACAAAAATGCCCAGCTGTCAGATAGGGGTCAAGGATCTTGGTTAAAGCTCTTTCCCAGCTATGCTACTAAAATTGGTTTTAGTGGAAAGTGCCATGTGTTGAACCTGGGGCATTTTGCACATTCACCATGATCTTTATTACTGAGCTGTGGGCTGTCCCATCCATGTGGTGCAGATGTGCTCAATGGATCCTTTAACAAGTGGTCCTCAACCTTGGGCCTCCAGATGTTATTGGACTACAATTCCACCTCTGCTGGCCAGGATTTCTGGGAGTTGCAGTCCAAGAACATCTGGAGGCCAGAGTTGGGAAGCACTGCTTTAGTAGAGTGTGCGCTCCTTTGTTTTAAAAAGTGTGTGGTGGGACTTCTGTTCTATAATTTGCAGTTGTCTGCCTCCTTTTATTTCTAGCAGGAAGGAGGCAAAGCTAAAGATCTTTTACGTACAGCCAGGCCATTGCAGTCATTGCTCTCTATCAGGTGCATCAGAAAATAGGGTTTAGCTCAAAAAGCAGCAGCATCCTCAAGAGAGCTTGCACTTAAAGAACTGCACTGAAAGGAGGGGGCAACTTTTGATTCAAACCTTTAATGCCCCCCCTTGTATTTTGATTTGGACCCATTGGCCAAAAACAAAAACAAACAAAAACAAACAAACAAAAAAGCTTCAGGCACACCATGTTCCCAGCATATAAAATTTGTTTTTCTTCATGTGTCACTTATGACTGGGGATGCCAGTGCTAGCGGGGGACAATTGTAGTGCTGGTTTTGTGGAAGTGCAGGCAGCTGAACCTAATGCCCAAAAAGCATCTGAGGAACAAATAGGGTCTAGTTTAAAAGGCACTCAAATCTCCAGGCCAGTTACTTACTCTTTGACAATAAAGAGGTTTTTATTTGCAAACCAGAAAAAAAGTGAGTAGAGCAGCAAACAAGAGTAGCTCAGAAGTCCCAAAGATATGCAGAAATCATTGTGGTCTTCTACAGCTTTATTTTAAGGACTTGATAATGGTGAAGGGAAGGATAAGAGGTTCTAGAGAATCCAAAAACTCTGTTGTGTAACCATTTTTGGTGTCTGTAATAACCTCCTACTAAACTTGGGTTACTCATGAAGATGATTTTTCCCTAAGCATATGTTCAACCCATTGCTTTTTGAAAGAATCTTTCGCTCTAGTGAACCATCCTGGCCCCTCTTATTTCTGATCTCTTCTTAATAAAGACGTCAATGCTGCTGAGCTTCCATATGAAATCTGTCAAGATCCATATAACAAAAAGAACAAAATCAAAGTCTTCTATCTTTTATAGAAAATGAGAAGTATTCTAAACTTTGAGCAAGTTGACATTGCAATATACAGTATACTGTGGGGATATTTTCATGTCCTCGCTAAGTGAGCCTGTAACAGAAGGCTTATGTGATACAAACAGACACCATTTATACTGTGTAAGCATAGATATATTATTGGCTACCCCTGGAAGCCCTTACTTCCCCCCATAATCCAAGGATCTCTTGTTTAATTGGCAGACTTCAACCCACCCATTCCTTCAGCCACACGTGTACCTTGATTTGTCCCTTGGCTGGATAGGTGACTGCTGTTACAAAAGGGCAAATTGCATTGTATTGCTTGATTGTAGGTCACCAAAATGGCTGATTTTTACATTTGGGTTTCAACTATGCCTCCTCAATCTCAGTTGTTATGGTTTAGGTTGCACTATATTCTCTCCCTCCTCACACACCCTCTTTTCAGGTTGCTTGTTGATGACATACTGAATATTGTTTCTCAACAATAAGAAACCCTAGAAGGAAGTGAATAGAAAATGCAACGTGGTAAAAGCATTTTTGTTTGTAATGCTTGTATTTTGTGCTTTAAATCCATTTGAGGGGGAAAACATGACAATTTAGAAAGGACAGGACTGTAAAGTAGGAGAAGAGCTTGGGGGAAATTGTCCAGTAGAGGGCATTCAAAATGCACTCTCCACATGTCAATATTTCCTCTAAATCAGAAACTATTTGGTTTAGCCAAAGGAAATACTGTATAGCAGAACTTCTGGGGCTTGTTCACCAGTATTTCCTGACCATGTTTTGCACCTAGTTTCCTATACAAATACATATGAAAAATCAGGACTAAGTCAAGCCTGTTTTGCTGCCCTTCTGGTGAGGAGGAGATCTCTTTTTGTCCTACTTTAGAAAAGAATCATCTTTCTAGAAAGAAGTATGGTGTCCTGGTTGGCTTACTTGTTAACATCTAAAATGCTCTTAATGGTTGAGGACCTTGATACCTGTTGGAAAGTCATTCCTACAAAACATTACAGGTGAAACCAAAATAGAAATAAAAAGTTTCTTTCTTTTTGTCTAATGAAGTGGACTTGTCCACAAAAGTTCACAATAAAAAAATATAAAAGTCAGTCTTTAAGGTGCCACCATGTTTTTGTCTTTTTTACTTTTTATTTCTATTTTGCTTTTACCTATAATGCTTGCACAGACTAACACAGCTACACCTTCTACTCCTACAAAACAACTACCCTTCCCATCCTCTCTTTGTAGTCTGTTAAGTGTTAAAAAATAGTAACACTTAAGGAGTCCGAAAGAATGAATATTGGGAACCAGGCTTTTTCAGTTGTGGCCCCATACTTCTGGAACAAACTTTCTAGAGGTTTGCCGGGCACCTTTCATCCCAGTTTTTAAGAAATACATCAAAACGAAATTTTATTAGTTCTTGTTACCTGAGATGTTCAAAATTGTTTTGATCTTTTATTTATTTATTTATT